AAATATTAAGCCAGTGTTTTGATTTATGGTACAGTATTTTTACTGGTTTCTCAACTAGTGCCATCTAGCGGCCATTTTCTGTCTTTGTTTGCTCATTTATACAGTATGGCTATGTGGGCCGATGGCTTAACTCTGGCAGAAAAACAGTCGGAGCGCTGGATTTAGGTGGGGCGTCCACACAGATCACCTTTGAGACCCCAGAAACAGTTGAGAACGAGTTGAACAGCATGACCATGCGTCTCTATGGGCAGGAGTATTCCCTCTACACGCATAGTTACCTGTGTTATGGTAAAGAAGAGGCTCTGCGCCAGATCCTGGCCTACCTGGTTGAAGTATGACATTATGCATCACAAATCAATAGTACCTCATTGTATATATGTAGACACTATTTTTGTGTTGGAGACTTCTTGGTTAATTGTTTTTGTCCTGTCACAGTTTACATTTCTCCAGTATGTTTTCATTTCAGTCGCAGGGTAATACTAGCAAAGTGTACCATCCCTGCTACCCATCTGACTTCACTGATGTCTTCAAGCTGGAGCAAGTGTTTGACTCTCCTTGTACAGTGTCTAAGAGACCCAAACCTTACAACCCTCATTCCTGGATCAGGGTGCAAGGCACCGGGGACTACCAAAGCTGCCTTGGCAACACTTCTAATATATTTTCCTTCCAGTTCTGCCCCTTTTCTCAGTGTTCCTTTAATGGAGTTTTCCAGCCCAACATCAGCGGGGGCTTCATGGTGAGAGGCCCAGAAATGGACAAAGTGGAACATACGAGTTTAATAGAAAAAAATCTTATGTATTTGTCCTTCTTTTAGGCCTTCTCTGCTTATTTCTTCACTCACAGTTATCTCCAGCAAAGTACAGGGATAAACATCAGAACCTCTGCTCAGCTAGAGGAGGCTACCAAAGCTGTGTGCAATATGACCATAGAAGAGGTATAATTTGTACTAATGCTAATACTAATGCTTGTTTTAGCTACCTCAGAATAAATTAAAGCCAGTACAACAAATGCTATCAGGATGTATGAAACATGATGTACTTTACAATTTAAATATTATAATTTTTCCCCCATTGTAGTAATAAGATTTTTCGTTTTTTTATTTTTTATTATTTATTTAATTGTCATGAAAATAATGACACTGATCTAAAATCTTAATTGGCCTATAACTGGAAAGGAAATATATTATCTTTATAGTCAAATATTAATATTTTAATTACTTTTATACATTTTTTAGGTCCAATTGATATTTCAACCGGAAATCAATTTTAATAAAAAATTAAACACACACACAATATATATATTTAGCATTTTTAGTAATATTGGTTTCAGAAGAAATGATTTCAAATATGAACTGGATATTTTCTGGCCAGGTTTTATGAATGTGAAAAAAAATGTCTTTGTGTTTATCATAAAAATACACTGTATAAACATGCTGCATTGCATCTGTGAATTCCTGTAAATCTTAAAAATTCATATCCATATCTTCTGTTCATTATAGATGACCAAGAAAGCTCCTGACTTGAAAAAATACCTGAAGGATTACTGTGCAGTTGCAGTGTATATACAAGTGCTAATGCTTAGGGGTTATAACTTTGATGAGAGTTCTTTCCAAAATGTTGCTTTTCAGAAAAAGGTGAGTTTATCAAAAATATACTCATATGCTTGTACATCACAGAACCGCCTTAACCACAGATCATTTTACAGTTTGCTTTTGAATAAAATGCAAATTGTGTGAATGTGAACTAAGTATACAAAAATGCAAAACCACACATTCAGTCTGTACTATGTCACAGGCAGGTGAGGCGTCTGTGGGCTGGGCTCTGGGTTATATTCTCAGTGTGAGCAGTCTTCTTCCAGATGAACCTGCGGGCATCAGGAAGGGCTTGTGTCCTGCAGCATGGATTGGCTTGTTGATTCTCCTAACCATCCTCCTCATTGCCACCTTCTGTTACATGGCTCTAGTGATTCGGAGGAAAAGGAGTGATGAAGTTGTCTCATAGCTCACTGCTATGCCTACAGTTGTTCTATGTGTTTGGACAGACTCCACAAAAATTTAATGTTTACATGAATAATGCATTCATACTGTACTGT